TAAAATTAAAATTTTTAATTTATTAGATAACATTTTTTAAAAATAGATACATATATAAATCGAGTTAAGTTTTAGTTCAAATTATATTGAAGTGTCTTTACACAATAAGTATATTTTTTGCAAAGATTGCATGCACATTCACGTAAGTTCTATGATTAATTCAAATCTTTAACTTTAATTATTTTGATTAGATTGTGTCTTTCTCGAATGATTGCACAGAACTTAACTTTTACTAATTCATCCATCTTGTCATTAATATGATACATTTAATCCTGTCATTCTCAATGAATTATGGAGAATATATATATTATATTATTATTTATTATATAAATGATCATCAAGATTTCTCTCCCTCTAATTTTGTTCTTGATCCTACATTCCAAATGTCTTTAGTACTTTATTCTAAATATCAATGTAAATGGCCTAATTCCATCGTTATTTTAATTCAAAGTTATGGCATAATCCTGACAATATCATTATTGATTAAGCCAAAGCATGTCTTATCATTAAGCTTTTTAATTCTATTCCCCTTATGAGCCAAAAAATTCTTCTTTCTGGAAAAAACATTCCAATTTTATCTCCCCCACAACCTCCATTGAAATAACTACCTCCCAAAAAGCTTTAAATACATGCCAATGAGTTTAATCTCTTAATTATTAACGTAATTGCATTGTGGAGAATGAAGTTCATTTACACAATTAGCAGAGGGTCCATGAATATATAGTTCATTCTCCCCTTTGGTTGTGACACAATTAATCACCACCTTATGCAGTTGGCCTTTATGCAATTGTGAACACAATTGCTCATCTTTAGTTAAAAAAAAAAATCAAACCTTCATGTTTAATAATTCAGAACTTAATTTAGTTGATTATGTAATTATTTTAAAAATGATATATGATAAATTTGAAAATTTAAATTTTAATACTTATAATCTTTTTCATTATCTTAGACTGCAATTTCTCTTATACATAAAATCATTTTTTACAAAAAAACCCTAGCGCTACTTTTTTAGGTAAAAAGATTAAGAATTTAAATTTAGGTCATTTGCTTCATGTACTATTAATGCGTTGTCTTTATTTAAAAAGTCAAAGTACACTTATAGGTTTTTTATATTTTGAAGAGAACATAAAATTTTCAATAATCATATATCTTAATTATTCTCATTTACAAAAACATATTCTTTTCTTTCAAATTAAATTAAGGAATTTAAGAATAATTTTATTTACACAGATTCTCATAAGATAGATTAATTTATACTTTTTAATCTTGTTGGCATAGGTCCATCTTCACCGACAATACTAATTCATGACTAACTACTAGCTAAAATTAGCTAGTAATTTTTGCATGTGCTTATGATAAAGCCACAAATTATTGTAATATATGTTAGTATTAAATTAAAACAAATAATATTTTAAATTTAATTCAATTAATTCATATAATTACTCTTAAAAAATAGCATCTAACAAATGTAAAGATTTACAATTTTTTACCATATTCTTAATTACAACATTCTTCGTAAAAAAAAAAACATATAAATTGATGCCATGTTGGTGATCTTACCATTATATATATAAAAAGGAAACCCAACAAGTAACTTTAGTGATTAAGATGGATGCATGCTTTCATTGAAAAAGAAGAGGTTAATATGGAAAGGCATATACATACATATGAAAAAAAGATAATTTGATAGAGGTACATATATATATATATATTGTTTGGTTAAATATAGGACTTGAAATTTTGGCTTGTCTATGGGACAATCACATGGGCTTGTTGTAGCAAGTGATGATTAAGAGAGCTAAAGGCTTTTTCATTTTCTTTTGTGGGATCCTCCATCTCTTTCAATGATTCTCTCTTCAGCTTGGATTTAGGATTAAAAGCAAACGCATGTTTGTGAAAGGTGCATGGTGGTCGAATTTTGGGGTCTAAAAATGTTCTTTGAATAACTTTTTATATGCCAAGAAAACAAAAAAAAAGAGCATGAAAAATTGTACATACCAAAAGCTGATGTGGCATGTCGTCTAATCTCATGGTGGATTGAAGGATTTGGAGAGAATCATTCAAATCATCCATGTTGAATGCGCAATGGGAAAAAATGTGGGGTGGAAAGTTCTTCCTTGACTCTCACCTCATTATTTTTCCACCTAGCCAAGTCATGTTAATTTTGAAGTCAATTTTTTTTTTTTTTTTTACATATAGATATATTTATCTCGAAAAACTTATTAAAAATAAAAACTCTTTATTTTTGTTATGTTCCATATTTGTGAGAGCATGATTGAAAACGTAAAATCTTAAATGTGTCATGCTGAAATGGAAAGAAGATATTGAAAATCGTTCGGAAAACGATTAGATCCAGACAAAATTTGAAAATATCTCCTATGGTATTAAAAAAAAAGTAGTGATTTTCAAAATAAAGTTTGTGAATCCGATTATTGGAGAAATGCAAGAAAAGGAACACCTGAAACACCGCTAATTGGTAGGATTGAAAAGTAAGCGTACTAAATTCTTGAAGGAAACAAGTGGAGAAATTTGGATGATGGTCCAGCAACGATTTGAGAGGAATATTTAGTGGAAGATGACAAATAAGTTATATCCAAAAGCAGGTAAGAGAGAGGAATTAGTGCTAGGTGATCTTGGTCATGTGATGTGAGAAGGGCAATGCTGGCTTTAGTCGTGGTTAGGTCTGCATCAGGGGGGTGGGAGTGGGAGGACCATGGAGCACGAGGAGGAGGGTTGCAAACGCAACCATTGCTGCGACCGTGATGCTGGATAAAGGAAGATTGTGTGGCCTAAAGGCATACACTCCCATGCGTCATTGTTTGATTTGGTTGGGGTTGATTAGGGTGCCAGACTCTAGCATTTCCTTTTACGGACTTTCTAGTTGTTGAATTGCTTGCTTCTTCATCGACATTCTGGATTTCGGCTTTTTGTAGGAACCAACCCATGCGTTCAATTCTACTACTAATTTCAACATATATATTCATTCACATGAGCTTTATGAACAAACAAAAAGCCATAAAAAAGCTTGCACTCTTTGTGGTTGAATTTTGATCATGCATGCATGCCCAACCTTTTATATATGTCTCTGATGGGAACTCGATCTTAGTAGCCGACATTCTAAGTTAATTAGTAGAAGCTTGTGAACATATCATGCCTCTTGGACCATCCCCAACCTCTATTATTTTTTTAAAATGAATCTCAAACCTCTACTTGGTTTTACATTTTTTTTTTTTTTGTAATTAAAGCCATCTCTTACTCATACAAACTCAAAACATTTTCAAGTAGGGTTCCATCATGAGTATTTCGAGAATGAAATTTTGAATGAGTAAGGTTGATATGAGTTAGAAATGTATCTATAAGATCGATCCAGATGGAGATTCAACTCAAACAAAATTTAAGATATCCTCAATCACATTTTTCTAAAAAAAAAGCGCACATTGTATTAGTGCTAGCCAAAATCCAAATTAATGTGTGGATATGTAAAACATAGTGTCTGATCTAAATCCCTTCAAATTAAGTTTAATACTAACCATTCATGGAGTTCAAGATCACGGCATTAATGGCAGGTAAAAACAATAATGCACATTTATTGTTCTTAAATCTAATGGTAAAATCTTCAAGTGGTTTTGCATTCCATTTTTTTAAGCAGAATGCCTCTATTATTGATGCTTGGAGAAAAACAATTGATAACAAATATTTTGGAGGCAATAGTCAAACAGTTAGGCAAAGTTAGGAAAACCACCCCACAATGGTGAAGTTCCAACGCAAAAGAACTCTCCCATTCCCAATCCAATTAGAGAATCCTTCCATTTTGGTCCCACGTCCTCACTCTTTACAATATTCTTCATCATCGTACACAAATAACCATTCATTATTAGACCTTTACTCACTCTTTCATGTCCTCCCCTTTCTCCTTATGGAAATTTTTATTTCATATATACTTCGTATAGAAATGAGCTTTTAGCGACATTTTTTCGTGATGTTTCGTAAAAAATATATAGTTTTGATCCTACATGCTTCACCTCTCTTTTTCTCTCTCACGATTCCATGTTTTATTTATGTAAGCATAATAACTATATAAATTTTGAAAAGCATATAAGGAAATTTAAAGGGAGAGGGTTGGGAATTCGAATTTAGATCTCAATTCGATTGAAAAGAGAGAACAATATAATTAAATCATATATATATATGTTCATATTTTTATGCAAAAGAATATTGTTAAAGTAAGTAAGTAATTAATATGAGTTGGGAGTTATTTAATTTATTGATACATAATTATGGTATTCCTAAAATTTTCATGTTAACCTAGGATTCATTATCCTATAAATTATTATTTAAGACAATTTTCTGTATATATCACAACGTGTATGAAAATTTTATATAATAATATCGATTAAAGTTAAACAAGTTGATAAGAAAAAGAATCTGTTTTTTATTAACTAGAGTTTGATTTTTACAGGGATTATTGCCGAAAATCATGAATGTATTAAATCGATGTGAAATGATACTTTCCTAACATTGTTCGAAGATATCAAGTCGAGAAAAAACCTTAAGACATTTATAAAAGATGAAATTTTCACAAGTACAAATGACAATTATGGATTTTGTGCATATTAAGAGTTTAAAATGGATATTCATTTGAGATCGATCACCTAATGTTTAAGGAAGACTAATATATTCCATTTACCTTGAATGGTGAGACAGCATTTATTCATGTAGCATATATATACCATTTGAAACTTTCTTTTTCGATGATGCCCAGCTGCCTGCAACCCTGGATTGGATTCCATGTCGAATATAAACAGCGTTAACTCGATGATCCGTAGGCCGTAGTATGTACAAGTTTTTTTTTTCTGATAGTTAAACACTTGAGTGTATAAATATTCAAAGTCATTTTCGTTTAGGCTTCTCTAGAAGCAATCTCACACTTCTAATATATTTTTTCCTTAAAAAACAAAAACAAAAAACAAAGACAAAGATTCCCATGGTGGGGTTAATTTAAAAGACTTACCAAAAAAGAAACAGGATTCCCTTCAATCCTGTTATGCCCACATCGATGGTACAATTTGTGTCCCTAGCAGCCCTGACCTCAATGCATCCAAGACCCCCTCAGGGCTCGGGTTCTCCTCCCCACCTTTCCTTCCCTTTCGCTCCCTTTCCATCCTCCCTCTTTGGGCCCACCTTAGCTATGCCTATGCCTAAACATCCCCATACCTTCTCTCTCCCCTTAAAGGCCTCAAGTCACCTATATATATACCCTACAATCCCATCACTCCATGTACCCCATGGGCAAGAGCCTTTCTATAGCTATATTTTTCTCTTAGATAAAAATGTCTGGTGTTTGGGTTTTCAGGAACGGTGTGGTTCGCTTGGTTGAGAACCCTGGGGCTGAATCATTGGACGGAAACCGACAGGGTTCAAACACCCGCCGCAAAGTGCTTGTTCACACTCCTTCTAACGAAGTGATCACTTCCTATGCTGTTCTTGAGCGTAATCTATTGTCTCTGGGGTGGGAGAGGTACTACGATGACCCTGATCTTCTTCAGTTCCATAAACGATCCACCGTCCATTTGATCTCTCTCCCCAAGGATTTTAACAAGTTCAAGTCCATGCACATGTACGACATCGTTGTCAAAAACCGCAACGTGTTTGAAGTTAGGGATATGTAGTTTCTAGTTTATACGTTGCAGCACCTGTTTCCTTCATCTTCAATTCTTCTTCTTTCTTTCTTTGTTTGCTTTTGTATGTGATGATGAATTGGTTTTACTATTTTGGTATATGGGTTTTGGTTTCTAAAGTGGACTGTATATGTTGAAGGGAAATTTAAGCTTGTGGGTTTGTACAATTAGGGTTAAGAAAGGTAATGTGCTTAAGATCGTTTGCTTGGTAAGTACCTGTCATGACTTGCATCTGTCATCGTTCTGGAAATTACTATAGTGATTGTGAATGAAAATTGTTGTTTCCTTGTGTGCTATAGATATTGTTCTATTTTTAAGTAAAACTAAAAATTTAATACTTTATCAACAGATTGTAACTATCGATCACATTTATCTTTTACTCTGATAAATTTTTGAACTGAAAATGACATGGTCAATAAATCTCCCTCGGCATATGGAACCTGGCATGACTGGTTGTCTTGCAAGATTTTTGGAATAGAGAAAGTGCTATGACACTTGAAGAAAAGTTGCATCTTGCTTTGAACTTATATTTATAAGCTTGAAATCATTTTAATTTTGCATTGAAGGAGATCTAAAGTGTTTATGCGTGAAAAGTTTATATTTGATATATTATTAGTGAATCAAATAATAATAAGTTATTAAAAAAATAAATCAGATAATAATATTTCATTGATGATAAATTTTTAAAAAATTTTAATTTATATAAATTTATTTTAAGAATTGATATTTATTTATTAATAAAATATTATTATTATTTAATTTATTAATAATATATAAAATTTATGTATCTATAATATATGAAATATAAATCCATATAAATATATATTAAAAGAATCTGATTGGAAAAAGGTTCACTTTAAGTTTGCTTACCAACAACGTGGATATGCCACGCGTTTCAACCCAAGTAGACAGGTCTATCCAATATGCATGGAACGATACTGTCTTGTATTTTGTTTCTCACTCTGTCCGAAATATAGTTATAAGAAAAAAAAAAAAAAAAAGAGCTGATCATGACCAAACTGAAATATTCAGGCAAAATTAGATAACCCAATGCCGTTTTCCAAATGGACAAAATGTGACATTTGTCTTCAAGTATAAAAATATTATATACGTAGTTTATCATAATATTTAAATTTATAGACTTATTATTATATATAAATTTAAAGAGTTATTATCAATCTTTTTTATTTAAATACAATTAGTTATTTAACCGAATCTGTCTCATTTAAAAAAAAAATATTAAATTTGACTTAAATATCTTTAAAAGATATATTCAATGTCTGTAAAACTAAAAATAAGTTCGAAAGTATGATTATGTGTGAAGAAAGCTATAGCACTCCCATAATACCCATTGAAAGATGGTACAAGTTTAATTTCGTATTATCCATTAAGCTTTAAAAATTTTACTCAGTAATTAATTTTTAAAAATTATTTTTAATTGAGTCCAATACTTTTGCCAAAAAATTAAGAAAATCTCTTCACCTCAAGAGTATGCAAAAAAACTACCGTCTCTCTTGCAGAGGTTCCGTCGTTGGATTATTTAACATGAAAAATTTTCAGGATAAGAAAAGAAAAAAAAAGGAATATTGCTTCAACTTCTTATAGAGATTTTTTTTTTTTTTTTTACAAACTCATACCTTTATATAAGGAAAATTGATACTTTTAACTTTTCTTTAAAGCATTTTGACATTTTTATTTTTAAGAAAAATTGATGCTTTCAACTTTTCCTCAAATATATTTTTTTTGAAATTTTTATTTTTAAGAAAAATTGATATTTTCAACTTTTTCTCAAAAATATTTTTTTGAAATTTTTATTTTGAAGAAAAATTGAAACTTTTAAGTTTTCCTCAAAAATGTTTTTTGAAATGTTTTTTTAATTTTTAAGAAAAATTGATACTTTTAATTTTTCTTTTCTCAAAAATATTTTTTTGAAGTTTTTATTTTTAAGGAAAATTGATACTTTTCAACTTTTCCTCAAAAATATTTTTTGAAAATTTTTTTATTTTTAAGAAAAATTGATTCTTTCAACTTTTTCTCAAAAATATTTTTTTATTTTTAAAAATTATTGAAAATAAAAAATGTTTAATTAAATACATTATTTCAATTTAATCAATAAATACATAAGAAAAAAATAAGAAATAAATAAATAAATAAGAAATAAATAGATAAATAAAAAACCTTGACTCGACTCGGTTAGGTTTGGACAAAATGCGGCTTCAGAGACAGATTTGGCTGGAATGGCTCAATGTGCGGCTTAGCTCAATCGGCTTAACAACGGTTAACCGAAGTGGGTAAACAGGTTGAAACGCTGCGGGTCGAGTCAGATTTCGGACGATGCACGGATCCTGTCCACTTTCTGCTTCCCCAAAATGGCATCATTTTCAAGTAGTATAAAAGGCAAAAATTTTCCTTTTTTGCCAAATGTTTCAATATTTCTCTCTCTTCCCTTCAGTTTTCTCTGCTTCTTTCTCTAGACGCGAAAAACGACGATGAAATTCTTACTGATTTTTAGGTTTTATCATCGAAAACTGGATTTTTTTATTGAAAAAGTCACCGAAAAACTTGAATTTCATCAAAAAATTCACTTGATTCTAGAAATTTCCAGAACAATTCCAAAAAAAATTCCTAAAAAAAACTAATCCTCTAATCTGAACAATAAATCTTTCAAAAACCCTTTTACTGCAAACTATAACTTCTTCCAATTTTTTTTTATTCTAACTCCTATTTTTTTATCTTTCTCTCTTTTTGTGTATCTTTGTTCTGTGATTGTTGGGATTTATATAGAGGTTGATACGAGATTCAAAATCAAAATTTCCCTATCTTCTAATCGATTTATCCATGTTTTTTCAAAAACCCTTCTTGATTGATCCTAGTTTCAAATTTTAAAGTTTTAACCCTAGCATTTTACTAGGATTAAAACTCTGCTTTTATTTATTTATTTATTTATTTTCTTAAATTTTTTGTTAGCTTATCTGCAAAACAACTTGATAAAAAAAAATCAATAAAAAAAAATACAAACGGGTGTCTACATAGTTAAAGCTTAAAATTAGACCTGATAAGTTGTGTTATCATTTTGTATAAAATATTATATTCGTATTGTATTTTATATGAAAGTCGCATGTTATAGCTTGTGTTAACATAAAAACATAAAATATAATTTTTTGATTTTATTAAACTTATTTATGATTTTTCTAAAATTTTAAGCTATATTTATTTATGTTCTTTATTCATATCATTTTCGTATCGTATTTTAAATTGTCAAGTCTACCCAAAATAAAATTTCTCTCCAAAAATGGAAGAGATGAGTTTATATAAAGCTCAAGAAATCAAGGTGAATTGTGAATTGTGATGAAGCTTAAATTTCTAGACAGCTATTATATTACAGAGAAGACTTAGATAAAGTTTTTTAGGTGAAATTTAAGAAATTTTTTATTAGAAACGATTAAATAAAAATTAAAATAAAAAATTAAAATTGGGTAAATTAAAAATCTCATTACATAGATTAAGTAAATAAATTTTAAAAAAATATTAATAATTTTTTATATATATATTTTTAATAAAAATGTTGATAGAATTTTTATCACTAAATAAATATCGATCAAATTTAATTTATAAATAACATTTTTAATAATTTTTTTTATATATTATTAATTTTGACATCAAACTTTATCAATTTTTTCGATTTGGATTTTTTTGTTAAAATTTTTATTAAATCATTTTAAAGAAAGAATTTCACAAATTTCACAAAAAAAAATTTCATGTAAGTTTTATCCATTATATATATATATATATATATATATTCTTTCTCTAATTCCTTTTTTTTTTGTCTATCTTTTTTTTTGGATATCCTAAAATTATGTCTTTTTTTTTAAATCTAAAACTTTTATTTTTTAATATTTAAAATTATTTTTAAATGATTTTTTTAATTTTTAACATTAAAAATATGAATCTTTAATTTTATAAAAACTTTTTTAAAATTTAATATTAAATACATTAAAATCAATTTTTTAAAACTTCACTATTTTGAAACAAATAGTGTATATATATATTCGAGCTGAAATTTATCATTAAAAGAGTTCGATTAATGGATGTTTATAAATATTGGTAAAAGTCGATAATTGAGTTAATCAACATAGTCATATATATTTACATTACTACAATATTGTTTAGAGTTAATGAATGAGATGTTTGAGGTCATGCAAAAATCAAATTAATTTAGGTCAGATCTGATAATTTAAAATACGATACGATGATATGATACAAATACGAATACAATAAAAAAATAAAACACGAAAGTATCACGACTTAAAATTGTAACAATAATTATATATAAATTTAATAAAATAAAAAATTATATTTTATATTTTTATATCGACATAAATTATAATACGTAATTTTTATATAAAATATGATATAAATATATAAATTTTAATATTTTACATGATACAAATTCACGAAACATCAAGTTTAATTTGGATTCAATTTTGCTACTCTAATCGCATGCCAATGGTCGAATTCAAGCAAAGTCTCTAAAAAGACAAATTGTCCTTAAAGCTCTATTAATGGTCTCCAAATTAAAGGAAAAATGGACATGTTCTTGTCGTTTTTGAACCTTTCGGGGATATAACTCGACCAATCATCAAACACTTGTCTAATCGGGCTTTCATTGGAGTATACCCCATATTGTTCTATAACAACAACGTGACATTTTACCACAATTTCGGATTGATAAAAGCTCCCATTTATAATCTAAACCAGAGGAATCATTCCTGATCAGATGATGCAATTTAACTTAGGGACCACCATTTTGAAGCTAGGGAGCATTTATGTTACCATTTTGTCAACAAATTAGGGATGCACATGGCTGAAAACTTAACATGCTGCTTGGAGTAATGGAAACATTAGAGATGGTGATCTAAATTCAATCTTGCTACACCCTAGTGGACCAAATACAATGTTCTTATTTCTCCTTTTCATTCTTGTGATTATAGTTATGGCCCCTCTCTTAGATTTCCAATTTGCCTGCCAAGTGTAGTAATATTAATAAAGACATTTGTCTTTACGGATAAAATCTTTATTGATGGTTATGAGTCAAACATCATCTATGTTTAATTTAGAATCAATTTGGATGAATAATCAAAGAGATAAATGATTTGTATTTTTTTTTACTTACTATAAAGGTATCATAACTATAAGTTATAAGTTCTATGTAACCACAATAATTTGACATTTTGATTTGAAAATTTTTATCTCCTTTCTCCATGGAAACACCATCTAAAACAAATGCAAGAAACTAAGAATCCACTCTTGTTTGCAAATAAGTTAATTTGGCGCATGGAAACATGTCCAAGAGATATGAAATTAGTGACGATGCATGAATATCCTAAGGCCATGAATAGTTCCAAAAAACATGTGCTGCAAAATTTAGGAGCATTTTCTTACCATCATTCCCTAATTTTACAGGTACTATAAACTTGTGTGGATAAGGCTCTTGTCCAGACGTGTGGAATTGCAGAGAAGAGCCCACCAAAAAAGGGTGTTTAACAGCTTTCTAGATTTTGTTTGTCAGTTATGGCAGTCCAAGCCCATTTCTTCTTTGAATGGGCTGCAATTACACTTAACATTGAGTAGTCAGTTCCTTCCCTTCAGCTGTTTTCTTTTGTGTGTGAGAGAGAGAGAGGAGAAAGGAAAATGAATGAAACTCATAAAAGAGGGTGATGAAGAAGAGAAAGCTGTTTCTTTTGATCCCATCCACAAAGGATGGGGCAAGAGAGATCCTATTTTGTCTTCTCATGAGTTTGGCTTGGATTAGCCACAGCATTTGTCTTGTCATACCATGCATTGTCTCTTCAATCCTACATTTTTTTTTTTTAAATCTAAAAGAAGAAATGGAAGGCTGCAACTTTGACTTTGCCAGCCACTTTTCCTGACCCACGTCTTAATTTTTCTTTTAATTAAAGGGTTCTAATTATGTAAAATTATTATTATTATTATTATTATTATTATTATTTTAAAAAATTTAAAATAAATAAGTTGTATCAATATTTAAATCAAAATAAGATGTATATTTTAAAAAATTTACATTAAAAAAAATAATAAAATCAAACTCAAAACGTCTCGTAACAAAATGAATAAAAGATTAATGAACTCAATTATCAAATCAGCTTCTTATTAGCTAAGATTATATTAATTTGATAAAAAAATTGAAAGTATTTTAAGCCATTTTGGCACATTTATATGTTCATGATCTTCTTGGGTCATTAAAGTGTAATGAAACTTGATAAATCTCCACCAAAAACCAAAATAAATAGCATGAGAGAACCATATATATATATAGATAGTTTTACCTAGAACTTCATTGTTGGAGCCAACGATAATGATTATCAAAGGAGTATATGGTATAATTTCAACTCCAATTAGCAGACCTAATACCTTTTAGTAACATTATTACCTCATGTTTCCATTAGTCGGCTATGTTGTTCACCTTTACCAACTGTGGGGAATAAGAAACTCCATTGTCAAAAAAAATTCCGGTAGCCTGGTAGCTAGGCATGCACATAGGCCATTGAAATGCTGGTGCACTAGAAAAAGCAAATGGTTTTTGTATAAAAATTTTCTTGAGGTTGGCAAGCCATGACTTTGTGGTGATTCTAACTAATAAACTAAGGATTAGTTGACGGCCTTATTCTGCATTTTTCAGCTTGCATTCTCATAATTCGTCTTGAAGTCGTAGTTCATCATTTGAGAGTGTGGATAAAGCTTGAGAAAAGCAGGTTGAAAATAATAATCAAACACATGTTGCGGAAGAAGGGTTTGAGGAGCATTCATCAAATGGGTCAAAGATATACACATGATCTGTGTTTTAAGTAGTCAATGTTAGGACAACTTTGGAAAAGTTGCTGCCGAAAGTGTTTGGTTGAAAAGTTTTACAAGAAACCAAGATCTTTTCTGATTAGTTACTTATTTCTTGGCATTACCGATGGGAGCCTATAGTTTAAAGCTGTATCCATGTTGGTATCATGTCAGCTTGATCCTGTTAATAATTTCTAAATAATTTAATTCAAACCTAAATGACCCGAATCCGATTATAAGAATCTGAATAATTCGAATATCAAACCTGAATGATCTGGACCTGAATTAAATCGAAATTACCAAACCTGACCAGCACAATTGCCCCAACTTTAGCAATACTCTCTCTTATGGTAGCATGACATGGTGTCGGGGTCCTACTAGTTTGAGCTGTGATAATTCTCTTTGGGGGCATAATTATTCTTGCAAGAAATTACAGTTAGTCATTCATCATTGTATTAAAATCTTTTCTTTTTTGGGTTTTATTGTTATAAAATAAAAGTAAAAAGCAAGAAACCAAAAAATCATTGTGTTTTTCTTCTGACAAGGCCACTAAGTATAATACATGGCACATATTTCTCTCTTTTTCCATGTCTTTGTGTTTCAATGAGTCCTAAAACCTCCCAATACCAACTCACAAAGATGGTAAGAAACATTTAAGACTTGACCAAACCATCCCTGCTGAACACAAAGCTGTCCAAAAAGCTCATTGGCTACATCACAACCTTACTTCTCCATCAGACTCGGAACACTTGCTAGTTGGTGCAATCAAATCCATGACAAACAGAAAGCCAGATTATAAGGATTAGAAGAAGCAAGATTCCAAGAACCACCAACTTTATCTTCATGTTTTGATACCACATCTTACGACGGATTTGTGCACCCTGTTTCCTGTATGCTTGGGCCTGAAAACAAGAAAATCTGCTTTGTACTGAACAGAGATAAATATAAATTACAACAGCACTTAACCAGGAAAATGAAAATTTACCTGATCACGTAGATTCTCAGTCTTGTCAGCAAGAGTCGTTAGGTTTTCTCCTCTATCAATTGCCTGAGATGCAGAATAGGTCATATAAATAATATGAATGCAGCTTTTACCATATTTTCCTATTAAGCCCATCTTGATTCAAATGATCTTTGAAAAATACATTTCAAGCAAATAAGCTTTGACAAAAAACAAAAAAAAAGGTATTCTAGATAGCAGAAAACAAACCAAACCCTAATTAAATCAAATATCCCACTAACAGATATATAGTGTTATTTATGGCTGTTACTAATTTCAGCTATTACTCATCATATTGCAGGTAACTTTCACCAAGTGTTTGGATATATAAATGGCATTCACTAAATTAAACAAAAGTTCAAGAGTTGCATCGGGCACCCTCTTGTCCACAGCCTATCTCCTACACCAAATACTCCTCATTATCACTTGAAACCTGATCACTTCATAATTCTGGAACTTGACCGTGTGATACTTGGTCTCCCAACATATTCACAACCATTATCAACCGATGGGAACCTTCAATATCTACGTCTAAAGCAGGGTCCCATTTTGCATACAAGGAAGGCATCTTTTCGGAGTTAGCACCATGCTGGTAACTTTTGCATTGAATGGACATACAAACAACCTCCATTCTATTCAGAATTTTTGGCATTCATATTATATTTGTGCACGTACATGCAAAACACGGAAAAAATGAGGGAAAGGTAGGGAGAGGGGAACCAAAATCATGGATTCTCAATAATCAACCATAGCAACATTACAAGCATGTCTAGAGAACAACTGAAGGAAAAGAATGCCAATGCACAAGAGGCCAAGACAGAACAGTAAAAGCTCTTACCTTGTCAATATTCTCCAACATTATACTTTTAACTTCTGAAACTTGAGCCTTGACCTTTAATAGCTTTTCAATTTCCTCAGCATGTTCAATAATATATTTCATGTGCTCCTTCATAATTGGCCTGCAAATTGCATTGTTTTGTTTTAACAGAAAATATTTATGTAAACTAAGAAAAAGAAATTAAGAGATTACACATCCATAAGTTGCATAAATGAACATACCCAAACTCCTTATTGAGACTTTTGGCAATAGCTGTATCTGCTTTTCCACCCCCATATCTTTTCTTGAAATCTGCTTTCATACGTTCCAAAAATGCAATAGAGATTTGCTTTCCAACAGAATCTTTGGCAACAACACAATAAGCTGTATATAGCGAAAGGCATGAAGTCAAGAGTATTGATTACTGAAGGGCTAAAAAAATGATCTCAATGAAGGCGATTGAGAGTGCATCTCCGTAGGCATCAGTAAAACACAAAATAAAATGCCCAAGTTACTTTACTTTGTTAAACACTGACACTGATAGTTAAGAATACCACAATTGCAACTTCACTAGCACAGTTGATATTTTTTCATAAAGTGTAGAAAGCCACTTGTTCGGCATGCCAATTTCTTACTTTCTTTCATCCAAAAAACAATAAAAGAACTAGAAAGATCAAGATGGTTATAGCCAAAGCTGAGATTGGTACCGCTTCCTTTTTTTTTTTGTCCTCTGCCTCATAATGCATTGTGGAATAAATGTTAAATGGGTCAGGATTAACAGCCTTCTGTTAACAGAGGCAACTTCAACTTCACCAAGAAACAGTAGTGCTGCATGGTACCAGAGGCTCCCCATACCCCAATTGTCCAAGAAAAATGTGCATTCTTTCATTTAGGATACCAAATTGAAAAACTTATTACACTGGCTACCAAAATTTTAGTATGTAAACGGTAACCCTCCAAGTTAGTAGTTTTTAGTCATCACATCTCTATCATTTCCCTGATCAATCAAAGCTAGCTCTGATATTGCAAATAGTCAAACAAATATTACAAACATCCAAAAGAGTCCACCCAGGACATAAATAATGCAGACTTGACGATAAGTAAGCATAATTGCAAGAGCCTTTCCATTTTTACCATTTTACAAGCTTCCTAAGGACCAACTGCCCTCAGCACAAGGACACGCAAACCATTCAAATTCATTAAAACAAAAGATAGACGCAAAGTATGTTTAAGACCAACCAAACCAGCCCAAGAGTTGGTTTTCCATTTCGGTTGCCAAATCCATTGATTATTTTCCAAGCCAGTCAACTATTCAGTCAATTTTCAGCATAAAAAAGCACATGGATATACAACTTTATATGAACAAGCAACTACATTTTCAATCATTGACCTTTTTAAAAACGCCTAGAAATTCAAGTTTAGGCATTTACAAGAAGCATATTGTTTTCAAATGTTAATTTTCCTACATCTTCATTTAGTTTGAGAGAGAATTGATTGAAGACTTCATTTAAATGCTTGAGCTAAAATATCTGATCGTTATCTAATTAACAAAGATCACATGTTTATCCAAAATCCACAGCCTCTTGAGGTCTAAAAAAGATACCTTTCCATCCAATTTCAATATTACTACTATTCAGCTTACTTTAACCTATATTTATAAATCAAACTTCGGAGCAAACAATTACTTCCCCAGCATTTTCCTCAGTTTTCTCAGCAACCAAGCAGAATAAAACTAATCCATCCAATAAAAAGAAGCTAACTTTCCAATGTTTTAATAAAAACCCACCAAATCCCACATCTCATTTCACACTTTTTTAGCTAGATCCAACAACTTTAACCTCCAATTCAACTTTTAAACTTCCACTCCCCTGTTTGATTCTCGAGAACAAAAAAAAGAGAGAAAGAAAAGCAAAGAGATCAGAGTTCTGTAAATTACCGTAACCATCTTCAACAAGAAAATTGAAGGTATGGTGATCGCAGTTGTAAGTAAACTTGTTGTTAGAAGAAGGGAGTCTTTGCAAACACTGAGCTGCAATAGCTGGGAAATTCCCAGTGAACTCAGTGTACTCGGCCAAGATCATTGTTCCTCGAGCCACGAAGCTGTAAATAAAAGGTTCCAGACTCATTTTTGTCTATTGAGCTAAACTGAGTTAGCTTACGAGTTGATCAGAGAGACAAAACAGAGGAAGACAAGGAGCTTGCTTGTCCTAGGTTCTACGTTAAGTTCTTCCTTTCTTCTTTTTAAGGCCGTGTTTGTTTTCTTCCTTTGGTGCGAAGGAAGAAACTTCGTTCAATTTTGTTGTTATTTTAAGCTAAACGGTGACGTTGAATCTTGGATTTATGAAAATGTAACTTGGTATAAAAGGGATTATTCTTTGTAATTTGACAAAGGCAAACCAAAGAATGATTACCAGAGTGGGAAAAACACAGGGATTCTGTCTTGGCGGCCATTTTTTTTTAATTATTTTTTAAAAAAATTTATGGAAATTAATAAAGTTGTTGCAATTTGACTGTTTTTGGACCCACAAATTTAATTTGTGGAGCTAAAAGAATGAAAATATTAAATAATTAAACTACCCAAAGTATGCAAATGATATGTTAGCCATATTGGCCAAAAGCATTTGATTACACGGCTTATGAATGATAGTAAATCTTTGAATTTAAGGTTTATTTTAATTCATTTATGCACTTATTTTAAAAGATGGTATTTAATAATTTTAAATTTTAATATTAATAATTTTTTATAAAAAATAACAAAAATTTTTAAATTTTTAATATTTTATAAGGTTGTGAAAATGTCAACAAATATAATTTCAAAAAAGAAAAGTCTACAAATGTAAGATACTTTGAAAAATATGAAAGTTGTGAGAGAGAAAAGTTTTGTTTCTTGTATATCAAGTTATGATTATCATAAAAATTCTGTGCTAATAAAATTTTTAATGTATTAAATTGATATGAAAATATGTGTATCATTTAAAAAAAGAATTAGGTTTGAAATATTATTTAAAAAAAAATTATTGATATCTTAAGAATTAAAACTTTCGTTTAACTCAATTATTTTTTATGATCATTTTTAAAAGTTAACATTTAATAAATTTAAAATTCAAAAAAATAATATTTCGTAAATTTGATATTCAAATCATAATAACTTCAATCTTTTTTCTTATTCCTAAGCTTCAGTTTTTTTTGCAAAAAGGAAAAAAATTACAGAAACTCTCATGGAAAGTACTAAAACCTGAAACTGTTGCAGGCAAAAGGATACAGTTTTGCTGAATTGATGCTGATTAATAATCCGGAGCAAGCTCACCTTGCATACATAATCTTAGTAATCTCAAACAAAGATTCAACCAGGTAAAAGAGTTCTACAGCGGTGCAGCAAGGAGATTTGGACTATGATTAGCTGCTTTACGACATGAATGATCAAGAAAGAAAGGAACCCAATTGACAGTAGCAAAAGAAAGAATAAAAGCAACGGCTAAAACCAGGGAAAAGATTCATATTTGTAGTTGTCATCTACAATTCTATTGTAACAAGGCTTACGACATGCTTATATGTGTGTAAGCTCTGTTGCCTTGCCACTTTGGTTGAGCAGGCAAGAGATGCAACTGATATTCATATTCAAGTAAAATTCAACTTGCCCCCAATTGTTCAGTTCAGCCGGTATGGTTACGTACAAATGACGAGAACAAAGATCAGCGATTGAAAGGAATGCCAAAAGAATATCTAACACCTAAAGGGAGAACAGTCGAGCAGGATTAACTCAGACACATACTGAAATATAGTTACCAGACGAATCAAATGGCCAGACAACAATATAGGACTTAACTTCACTTTCCAAATCAACTGCTGCTGTTAAAGTCACTACTTCTCCAAAATGACAATCGTTGAAGCTGTGAAAAGACAGAATCCACGATACCTGCAGGAGCTGCATTGCTGTTTGTTACCACATCCTTTGCATCCACCTCAATATCAAAATCCTTCCAGAACGTGATGATGTGTAAACTCTCTTCCTCTGTTGATCTTTGGACAACAATTCTAGAAGCATAGCCCTTCTTCCTCATGTGACAGCATATCTGTGAAGGATTATTTGCTGTAAGAGTCACCATGTACAACCAACCCCTTTTCGACAAAAGTTTATCAGCAACGGGCAAAATCTTATCAATTACACTTCGACCGTTCTCTCCTCCTGCCCAAGCCAAGGCAATTCCTTCACGACCCACTTCATCTTCTGGCGTTGGCGCATAAGGTGGATTAACAACCAAGAGATCAACCTAACGTGCCAGACGATTCTCCAGCCCCAACGCAATGTCAGTATTTATCAACTCAGCATAAATTCCATGTGCTTCCATTGTCTCTTGAGTCACTCTAATTGCATGATGGTTGATCTCAGTGGCAATAAACTGAGCCCCATTACCTTCCTCCCCAAGCATAAGGATTAAAGAAGTGATAACATAACCACTTCCACAACTCCATACACAGCTTGGGCTTATGCTCCAACAGGTTTTTTCTATCAGCTAAAAGTGCATCAACTAATGCAAATGAATCATCACAGGGTTCATAAACTGAGCCCCATTACCTTCCTCCCCAAGCATAAGGATTAAAGAAGTGATAACATAACCACTTCCACAACTCCATACACAGCTTGGGCTTATGCTCCAACAGGTTTTTTCTATCAGCTAAAAGTGCATCAACTAATGCAAATGAATCATCACAGGGTTCATAAACCTCAGGATGTGAACTCACAAGACGAATATGGGCAATTCTAGTAGGCATCTCCACAGAAACTCCCTGGAATAACAATTAATGTATAACAAATTTTCTTAGTTTGATTACTGGAATTCCCAGACATTCCCAGTAGCCCAATTCAAGAAAGATAGAAACTTCATATGAAAAGCAAGAAATTTTCTGATCGAACAAAGACAAGTCTTAAACAAATGACTTAAGACATCAACTGAACTTGAAGAACTGTTTTACATGTTACTAACAGCAAGTAAAAAGGGAGGGAAGGAAAGAAAATTTGGGATTCAGTGTCCCAATCCGATTTGTTAGTTACCGGCGAATTTGATTGAAAGAACAAAACTTGAATTTCAGTTGGAGAGAAAGAGGGATGCAGAAGGGAGGGTCAAGAGAGAGGAGAGAAAAGGAAGACAATGGGCTTATCAATGTCAGCCCAATCAAACTTGAAGAAACCTAAATCTTAAATGAACAAAAACAAAGTAGGTCCCACATTTGCAAGTGTTTGAACTTTGAAGTTCATATATGGCGAGACTAATCAATGTCTTAAAACAAACCCTATCTTCAATTTGCCCGCCCAAACACTCCCCAATTTCCCAAATTCAAAATTCAGTTCATCAAATCACATCCATTTCGTTTTTTTTTTTTTATTCAGTCTCCAGATATCGCCTGCAAAAACTTCAAATTGAAGTACTTCTCTCTTTTTTTACATGAACAACCCCAAAGCTATAAATCAAATCAATCAAATACTAATCTCTGTTTCTAATTGTTACTAATTATGGCAACCTCTGATTCAACTCCTCCTCTTCCCGTCTCTGTTCCCCTCGCTCCTGTACTTACTCTGTTTCCATTTTTTTTTTTTTGGATTTTCTACTTATAGTTAAAGATCTTTTTTTTTTTGTTTCCTTTATGGAAGTTTGAATTTTGATTAGAAATATTAATCAAATTATTGTTTAACCATTTGACAGAATAAGGAGAATATCACTCCAGTCGGTTCAAAAATTGCAGTAAGTTTTGGGTTTTCTTTTTTTTCCCCTGTATTTTATTTATCATTTACTTCTTTTATTCTTACAAAAATTTGTGTTTGATTTGATTCATTTAAGTTTCTAACTTTCAATTTTGTTTGGGGTTTTAGGAATTAAATGAATCAAGGACTGAGCTGCTCAGTAGAATTCAAGGGTTGAAACAGGTAATCATGGAAAATATAACTTTTTTTTTATTTTTACGTTTTTCCATATTTTGAGTTTTATATTCTGAGAATCTTTTTCCTGTTAGGATCTGCAAAATTGGAGGTCAAAATTGGACACCCAAGTTAAAATTTACGGCGATGTAAGTTCAGCTCTGCATTTTATCTCTTAAAAAAAATTTTCTGGTTGCATAATCTGCTATTGATGTATAGTTCCTGCTGCTTTGGATTAGATCTGATAATTTAAAATATGACATGGTTAAATGACATCAACATGATACAAAAAAAATGATAAAAAAGTGATAGTTTAAAATTTTAACAATAATTATATATTAGTTTAACAAAATAAAATAAAAAAATATATTTTATGTTTTTGTGTTGACATAAATTATGAAACATTATTTTCGTGTAAAACATGATACGAATACATAAATTTGAGTATTTTATATGGCATGAATCGCCAGATCTACTTTGGATACTTTTTTTGTGGTATTATTATTTTTCAAAATTACGACCTAATGTGATTCTTTTTTTTGTTGTCTTTCATACAATCAACCCTAGAGTTTAGGATATAAAGCATAGTTTGTTGTTGTTGTATGGATTCTTTTCATTCTTTTTTGTTTATTCATATTGAGGTTTTGGTATTATATAGTGATAGGAAAGGCTTGGAAAGGAAATCCGTGAGAATGAATGTTTCATGCCATGCTAAGTAAGTATTTAATAGTTGAAGTTGATGGATCTTTTACTATGAAATGAAGGTTCTCTTTAAAAGAATCTACATATGGGTGTTTTTTTCCTGAGAATGAAATAATCAACTAGGGGAAAATCTCATCCTTTTTTGTTATGTACACTACTGCAATTGAAATAAGAATTACAGTTGAGTTTACTCATACATGTCTCTGCTGCTCATCAAAGTCTTAGATATTTGCGAACATGTTAGCAATGAGCTTAACTTTGGAGAAATTTTATGTGCGTTTAGGATATAACTAGTTATTTAATAGATAAATCTTTCGGATCTGATGTCATTCCTCTTGCCACCGAATGGTTGAGACCAGGGATCTAAAGATTTGTGTTACTGTTTGAAGATATTGATGGAAGAACAGATTTTCTAAATCGCAGGTTTAAGTAGATATTTAAGGCCTTTTAGTGTCATCATTTCTTAGGCTAATTTGCATGCCTCTTGCAGGAGTTGACAGAATTGAAGAAAACACTTAATGTTGAAGTAGAGCAACTCCGTAGCGTAAGTGTTTTCTCTATAAATATGTTTCATTCTAAAGGAGAAGTTATCTAAAATGTTTCATTCTTGACATAAGGAATTTCAAGAACTGAGGGGCACTCTCCATCAGCAACAGGAAGATGTTACTGCTAGCTTAAGAAATTTGGGGGTAAGTTAACTAAGACTTTTGTTTCCTTTCCTTATGCCAACTTGTTTTCTAGCATCAGTCTATGGTTTTAGAAACTAGTTTGTTCTAAGGCTTGGCAATTTGTGTATTTGAATCATGTTCCTAGGGTTAAACAGGTATAAAACACAAAAAAATTGCTGAGTCAAATTCATGTAGACACATTAAATACAAAACATATTTTTTGGTTTTTGTCAAACTCATATGCTATTTTGGCTAAAATTTTAAACTTTGTCGCTTAGGTGTCTTATTTTGTGTCGTGTTACTTTACTGCTTGGTTGAATGGTTTGGAACATTTTGCAGCTGCAGGATGTGTCAGAGGGTGCTAAAGATGCTGAAGATCCCAAGGTTGAAGGAAAGGATGAGGAAGTGCATACTTTACACATAAAAGAAAATGGCAAGGAAGTGGAGAACTAGATGAGTTGATATTGGACCTTGCATTCTTGTATTTCTTGCTCCTGGAGCTTGTTATGAACTATTACCATGTTTCTTAGGTTAAAATTCCGAGTTTACCATGTTGTCTAGCACAGGAAAGAGCTTTCATCTGAATTAATTGATATGCTATTGGCATTTAATTACTCTTCTTTTTTAAAGCATGCTCCGATATGGTCACGATGAAGCCAAAACAATATCATCTTCTGTCTTCCAGCCTGTGCTTTTGATCAGTATGCACCTAGGCTCACTCAATGAGCTCAGGAAAGGGGAGAATTACATTGCAGTTGTGTGATTGTTTTTTGCTTGGTATGTCTTGTCTGTGAAATGTGAATGTTCCAATCCTAAAATTGGTGGTGAAATGGAAAAGAAATGAAAAGATCAACTACTTCTTTACACCAAAGGCTCTAATGCATGGTTTAAGTAATACAAATTTTCGTCTGCAACAAATCAAGAGAAAATTTATCTGAATTTAAGCTATATACAATTGAAAAATATAGCAATCTAGGACTGCTGAATCTATTATTGCAATTTGCAGGAAAGAAAACGTTTGACATAAAATTCACACACAAGTCGATGCCTTGGAGGTGCGATGACTTGTCCCGAGAATAATCACAATAACAGTAACATCATCATGGTATTTCCTCCTCCTACCAGCTGGAATTTTCATCAATTCTTCCTTACTGAAACCTGTGATGGTAAAATTGATGTCTTAGAGAACTTGATATAATAAATGAATATACAGCTCTAGTTAAGAAAGCAAACAACAATAAGACACAGGTGATGAAAAAATAATTTGTTCATTGTTCAAATTAAATTGGAACAGAATGGGCAACAGATATAATCATATGAAGCATTTTACCTGCAGAATGAGCCGCTTTTATTACAAGCTGCTCCACAAGAAATTTTGCAGGATCTCCGTAAGGGTTGCTTGATATGTAAGAATGGACAAGCTTTACGGCCTCTTCATTGCTGAAGAAGTCAAACAAGCCATCACTACCTACTATGACAAAGTGATCAGATCTTGATATTTTGTGCACATTAAGTGATGGTTCTGTGGAGATATAAGGGGGGCTAATGAGGTTACGAACTCGAAGAATTCCCATTAGTGCATCATTCAGTTTTTTCTGCAAGGAATAACAAAAATGATACGCTAAGGAAAACACTGGAGCAGCAATAATAACATAGGTTATATAACAGTTGCCACAAAGCTTACTCAGCATTAACCACTACCAGATCGCAGAAATGGCAACCACAATATAAACAAGGCAGGTTATACTCATTTGTTGACAACTTAGTTGTAATTTCCAAGTCTTGAAGACTAATTTCCATGAGTAAAAGTGGTTTTTCCTCAGTGGTTAAATAAAAATATAAAGGAGAAGAGCTGTCATTCCAGGTCAGAGTAATACTTTGCTGACTGGGATGCAGTGAAAGTCAGTCTTCTTAAGGGGCAAATATCAAGGACAAAAATTATAAGGAAATCATAATGAGAAATACCAACAACTACCTTTTTCAAGTAACCTACTCCAAAAGCGCGGGTGACCTTCAATTTTCCCTTCACTTTTCCAGCTACTACGGGCATAGAGTCATCAGGATGCTCATGAAAGAGTCGAGTTCTTTCAACTTCATTATCAACAGTGTGAATATCAGTGAGCTGAATAGCTTTCAACCGTTCACTCTGACCCATGTCATTGCCTTCATCATATGTTGCCAATACAGCTCGACTGTCACCTAAATTGAGTGTATACAAATCTTTTCCATGAAGAAGCATAACCAAAACACAAGATCCTACCGAAACTAAATCAGGGCGGTCCTCCATTTCCTGCTCTACCATGTACAAGAAATCATTCTCGGCTTGACTTAGAGCACGTTGGAGGCTATCAAGCACCCCATGCCTAAATGAATCAGATGACACTTCCATTTTAGGATTTGCACTTTTCTTCATCAAGCTTTCAGCACTTGCATACTTCGTGCTGTCAATCCTGGCCTCGCTAACAACTGTACCATCATCAAGAAAATATTCAAAAGGTCCATTTTCATCCAAAGCATTGGGTGCTCTGGGGACATCCTGCTTTGATTCCCAGTCTAGTAAATTAAAGTAAAATATTATAGTTTCATAAAATGTTCCTGCAAGAAAATCAGCTGCATCCCTTCCATTGAAGCCATCATAGATTGCACAAAAGAGCCACTCGTTCTCTTCAGAACAGACAGCTTGAACCCTGTCTTCACCAGCAGCTCCACCCGCCACTTGTACTTCCATAGCATTAAGGAAACTGTCACTTCTAGAAGGAGCACTCATTGGTTTCGCTAAAAACGAATCAGTTTCAGGTGAATCAAGTGGACTTGGTGGACTGCAACTTAAGTTTGACATACTGCTTTGCAGCGAAGATGATAATATATCCAACCTCGAAAGAGATGGAGAAGAGGGAACCCTACGAAACGAATTAGGGGAATCCAAACTAGGAAGAATTTCAGCTCCTATCAGACCATTGCAGATATTTGTGTTGGCCAATGTAGCATTGGCACTTAAGGCAGCACCAGACAAGCAAGAAAAACTGCCTGTCCTTGGAATTTCACTTCCCAACCGGATTGCACACCCATTAGCAGCACTGCAAGGAATACCTTTGTGGCTGTTGCACTGGTAGCCAAAACTTACCTTAATTTCCCCTTCAGAACTAGTGAAATTTTCTCCTTGCATTATAGGCTGAAACAGATCATATATCTCCATTATCTAATTTTTATATAGAAAGATAGCATAACATTGTATTAACAAGATAAAAGTCCACAAAATAATACAAATTTCTGCAAGTTCAATATTGTTATCTCTAACAGTTCAGTCCAACATTTTACATTAGCAAATCTTTCATTACAGGAATTAAGCTCTCTTTTGTTGCTAAAACTAACCTATTATAAATTCTTCTCATGATCAACAGGACATTATGAATCTCAAACTAGAATAGAACGTATAGAATGCAGATCATGATCATAGCAATAAAACCCAATTTCATAAAAGAAGCAATAAAACCCAATTCCATAAAAGAATAAGTAATGATGATAAATTGTTAATGTGGGCTATTAAACACTTGAACATATAGAATAGCCCTCTACGTAGAATTTCATTCGCAGACTATGAAGCAATAAAACAGTAGAAACAATTACAATAAGAGTAATAGAAGGCTACCTGAATCAAAGCAAAGCAATGAAGTCTCCGAATCAGATATGAATTCTGAACTCAACAAAACCTACTAACAATAAAAAACAAAATATTAGATTAATTCTAAGGAAACAAGAGTGTATTAACAATAATTAAAAAAAATCTTGTTATTGAAATGATAATAGAAACAAAGCTACCTAAAAAAACAGAGCTAACAGAGTTAAAAACAAAGAACCCACGTCAACAAAATAAAAAAACTATTAAGTATCAACTCTAACTGCAATGCAGGAAGAGAAAGTAAGTGAAACGTGTGAACTTTGGGCGCTTTGAACAAAGCAAAAGCACAATCAAAAGGAGAAAAAACTGGAGATTTGGGTTTATGAGCCTGAAGAAAGAGAAAAAAGAGAGAGATTTAGTGGAGAATCTGAAACAAGGAAGAGCGTGCAATGCGTTAGATCAGAGGAAAATTGGATGGTTGCGAAAGAAAGGGTCTCTCCTAAATTTGGAGAATTTTTTTTTATTTTATTTTGTTTGGCTCTCGTTTTGGTCTTCCCGTCTCCTGTCAGATTCATTATTACCGGTAGTGCCGTTTTTAAGAGCTCCTCTAATGAAACTTTTTGGTTTTTTTTTTTTAATTTGTCACCTAGTCTATTACCTGCCAAAATATTCTACTGTTGACATAAAGATTTTGTCAGTTGATAAAGACATTACTTTGGTTTTGTAAAGTTCATCGCTTCATAATCCTGACTCTTGGAATCCTGAGAGAGATGGGGTTAAAAGTAGGCAACTTGTGAGTTGTCCTTTCATATGGTGGGTTTCAAATTCTTCAGATTGGGGCATTCTAGAGATTTAAAGATTAAAAAGACACCAAAGATTTATTCAATTCTAATGTCTATAGTAAAAATTTTCAAAAGTAGTTTATGGTTAGCATTGATCAAGTTTCCAAACCAGTAGAAATGGTTGGTTAGATTAGATTCTTGTTGGATTCAAACATATGTTAATAACTGATTTTTTAAGATTTCTTTCCGTCTTTGGTGGTTTAGATCAGTTGATACGTTATCGAAAAACATGTCAATTTTATTTGTAACTAATAAAAGATTTAACTTTTTTAATCCAATGAAAATAGAAAAAAATTTGTATTATAAGAATTAAAATAAATATGATATTAAATTGTTATTGAATATGAAAATATAAAATATCATAAAGATATAAATAAAAATAAATTTAAAATATTAATTAAATATAAATATAAAAATAAATATAATATAAAAATTCAAAAGATGAAAATAAAAAATAAAAAAAATTTATATTTTTATTCGTTAACATCTTTAGATGTTGAAATTAATATTTTAAAATTATAAATTTAAAAAAATTTATATACGTAATATTTTTAATAATGTAAGTAATAGAATAAAAAAATTAAAAATAAATTAAAATTTTCATAAAAAAATAAAGTTAATAAAATTGGAAATACAATTTAATTGATTCACTTAGCTTGTAAAAGATAACATTAAATAATTTTAAATTTTAAGAAAAAGATAGTGTTAGTTAAATTGCCAGGAGGACAACAAAGGGTTGATATGGTGGGGACAGAAGAGTTAGAGACCAAGAATGAATCTGCCAGGCTTTGCCGGTACATAGAACTGATGTAAGTGGACCAACATTGCCAAATTATCCTAGTTCTGTAGAGTAATAGGGCTGTCGCCTGTCGGAAAATAGTTGATAGAACCCCGTTAGTCCACGTCGACACCAATTATTAGAGTTACAGAAAAACAACAAATTTTTTTATAGCAAAAGAAAAAAGTCATGGAAAAAACAAAAACAATGGGATTGTCACACGTTTTATCCACCGTTCAACAGAAATAAAGCAAGTGGCTGCCAGAGCCATGGATTCCCGGTTTGGCAGTTTCGCACAGGCTACAGCATCAGCAGAAAATGAGATGAGCTTGGACTCGAAATTTAAGCGGATTATTGTAATGAGTTTAAGGGTCAAACCAGTGATGATAATCAAATTAATATATTATTGTATATATCGAATCGATTTAAAAATTAAAAATATTTTAATTATTTATTGATAATTTTTAATAAAAAAAATTAATTTATCTTTTAGATTTAAAAACACTCTTACTAATTATGATTAAAAAAAATTACAATGCATTTGAAAGTTTGGATAAAAATTGTGTTACAGTTAACCAACTACATCTCACTGATTTCTTAATTGGATTTTATTGCTAAATTTTTTAAATTTAACTTCATCAGGTGCAACATCTAAGTTCACTCCAAGTTTGGTCGGAACTGGATTTGGATTGTAAGAAAACAAGCATTCAAGTTGGTACAAGTTGAGGAATGTTCTATATGATGCATTGCCACTATAGAAAACTTTGAAAAGCCATGGCTGCAGGATAAGGAATTTGCATTACAAATAATTTACTCTATGATCCAAATTTTCAGAGTAACACTATGACGCAGAACAAGCCGCCTAATCATAGAAGAAAATATGACAAAGACAAACATTTCTCAGCATCAAATACATCTTTAACTGTTGCTTTAGCATGTTTTTTGCCAGGCATTGCTATAATGAATCTAGGTAGTAATTTGACTTTCATATGTTTTGAGAAAGCAATAATCACATCCTACTGCTTAGATGAGATCATAAAATGCCAAAAACTCCAATTGATGTTCACATGATTAAGCAATAATCACATGGTAACACTCTTGAGGTGATTAAGCTCTGTTACTCATCAGCTATGAACATTAATAAGATATATATACGAAGTGAACTTTATTGGGATAATTTATATATGAGTAAAAAATCTCACATCATTAATAAATATAAATAAAATGTTTTATACATATATATATAGATGATTTAAAAATCTAATAGCTTAAATTTTTGAGTTTAAGTGGTGTCTAACATATATATATGAATTTTTTAATGTGCTTTTATAAACTTCAAATATGATTTATCTTCCCATCAACTGATATAAGAATTGAAAGTTTAACTTGTTCGAAATGAATGTGTGGAATTGAAACGCCTAAGAAAATAATGTATTAAGTCAATCAGTGATGAGTGCAAAATTAAAGTTGTAATTGATTATCAAGCTCAAGAATCATTTAGACAACTTAGACAGTAAGATTGTGTGCTATGATTAAGTCAAAGCTTGAGAGGCATTGAAATAACTTAGGCCTACAGAGTGACAAAATTGAATACTAGGACTAAGTGAGCCTAAGGTATACTAAGATCATCCAAGATATGAGGTTGCCTAGCTCAAAAGGAGATGTTGCAAAGACTTACTTGCTCGGGGAGTTGAGGTGGTATTTCATCAAAAGTCACAAGTGAAGAAAATTGTTAGAATGGTTCACATATAAGTAAAAATTCTCATATCACTAGAAAATATGAATGGAATATACTATATATATACATGGAGTACCCAAAAACTTAATAGCTTAAGCTTTTAAGTTGGTATCCAACATATATGTATGGATTCTTTAGTGTGCTTCCGTGAACTCCAAATGTGACTTTATCTCTCCCATTAAATTTGAATAGCAGAAATGAACCGCAATACCTGGAAAGATATCTCCATTTCAGAGCAAAAGAATGGAGTGATTTATAGGTTATACTTAGAGGCCACAAAGGCATAAAAATATCCTTTTTCTATCTCATCATGACCTGATCAGGAAGACAACCACCACACAGCTGAGCGGCTTCTTCATCTGGTAATGCTGGCATAAACCTGAAAGAAATGGGGAAGAGGTTTACAAACAAGTGCTGTGCAACTGCAACATAACTAAATTCACCAGGCATATCTAAAATGGCCTGGAAAAAAATGAACTTCATGAATGCCACTTCTAAGCAAACATATTTGCTTATAAACATAAAGACTGATGTAATATGAGCATCAAAATGGAAGTTTCAGCAAGAAATTCCTCTTACAGTTCAACCATTAATCATATGACTAAATAATGGTGCACATTACAAGCAATAAAGGTTGAAGCTTTTGCCACAGGCAACTAATTAACAACAGCCGTTTACTTAAAGCATACCCATCTGGAAAATGATAGCCTTTCCCAGGCTCCAAATGCCCTAATCCAACATTTCTCATTTATACGTCAAAGCAAATGCCCAAGAACATGACAAAACCAGTTAGTGGAGCTTAAACAGTAAGACAAATAGAAAAAAAAAATAGAGCTGCAAAGACAAGGATATCAGAACATGAAATAGTGTTCAGACATTGAGTTAGTTTGGCCTTTACTTCATCAATGACTTTCAAGCTCTGCGCATAAACAAGTATATAGGCATCACAACACTGTTAATTGGACAAAAGCATGTGAAATTACAATTTGCTGTTGCAGTTCAAATTGACAGAAACAAACAAATTGAAAGGCGTGCGCCTCTCACACGATTTCCTTTTATAAAGTAATAGCAGAAGCAGATCAAAAAAAAATGTCATCTGACTATTGGCCAAGCTTCACCTACTCCTCTCACAGGATAGTTGCAGTCAAGAACGGAAGATGTTCAATGAACTTTTATAATGAAAAGATAAGGAAGCTAGTCAATGACATGATCTCTACAGGGAAATCAGAATGAAGTTGGAAAATCAACATGCCAACTAGCTATATAAAACATAAACATATTGGTAAATCAGTACAAAAAGTACAAGTAATACCTTAATCTGTGAGCAAAAGTGTAGAATAATACAGCTAACTAAGTCTTTTTTCTTAAAGGTGCAAAGTGCAATGAAAACCATGGAAAGTATGACTTGAGTGGTAAATTAGAAGCTACTTGCCAACTGATCAAATGCTTATGGCTGACTACTCAAGGCTTGAAAATAATGAAGGCAATTTCAGAAATACACTAGAACAAAAGAATATGGTAATACACAAATTTCATTTCTAAATATTTTGTTCTGAGTTTGAGGTTTAGAGGAAAAACAACAGTTTGGAAGAGTCCTTCATTAAACTATAGAATACCTCCATTCTACAAAATAATGTGCGTTCCATATCATTGGATCCCTAGATCTCAATTTCTAATATGAATGCATTTCACCATCGAGAAACAAGGAACTAAGGCTGATTTAAAGCATCGTAATTTAAGATTTTCCAGTTGTGAAAGCTGCAGCTGGCCAATGGATTTAGTCCCAAAAATATTTGAGGCTTTTGGACTACCATAAATACCCATATGAATCATAAGTTCATCATAAAAATCGAAGTCTCTCTATCCCTTAGAGTATTTCCAAAAAAAAATGTTTTTGAAGTGAAAAGAATATGAGAAACACATAAATTTATCATTTTTATTACTCAGTACTCACTAGAAAGACATAACATTGTTTAATTTAAACAAATTTTCTTTAGTTGAAATCAAAATCATAAAATACATAATGAAAGCAACCAAACTCTGTTATGAAATCATAGCAAAACAGAAAACTTGAAATTTCAGCACTCTCAACAGCTGCATCATATCTTCAATTCACAACCCTACAATTCTTCCTTATTTCTCCTTGATTCCCAGTGAGCACATCAATGGAACCCATATGCACCATTGCAGCAGCAAACTTTGCAGCCCAAGCACTGGGGTGGTTCACATTCTCTTTCGCAAGATTCCTTGTTAATACACTATTCCAAAGCACTTGATCTGAAGCCAATAGTCCCCTGCTGCTCTTCAAGTTTTTATAATAGTTATTATCAAGCTGGTTCGGAGTCACAGGATCAAAAGGCACCAATGGATCAGGACTAGTTCTGGTGTTCAATGGCTGAGGGCATTTAGTTTTCAAGAAACTGGCATAAGAAGGATCCATGGATGGATCTTGAGCAAAAGTCTTATTAAAAGAGTATAAACGTTTTGAGAATGAAGAGCAATGTGAATCTCCAATAGAGTGAGCACCTGAAAGTGTTACCATTTCCTCTATTGACAAACCTTTCCTTGCAAAATTTTCTTTCAATTCTGTCACATTGAAGAATGCATCCGGGAGGTTCTTAGTCACTTCTGCTATGGAAGAAACTCTTCCATCGCGACGCCCCGAAGGAACATCATAGTAAAGGCCACCTGCTAGATTAACGCTGTCACGAGCTGCAAAGGCAAGGATATCTGAACATGATACAGTGTTTGGACATTGAGCTTCTATTTTAGCCTTTGCTTCGTCGATGATTTGGAAGCCCTGAACACCCTTGTTCCCCATGCTATCTTTCTCTGCTTGATTGCCAGGTGTGGAATCCAGAAGTATGGAAGCATCACAACCCTGTTAGACAGAATTAGGATGTAAAATTTTAACAGAAATGGAGTCAATTAAGCAAATAAATAAGTAAGAAACATGATTAACTAAGAATTACCCTCACAAAACAATCATGGAAATGAAGTCTAATGAGAGCTGCAGGTGCTCCAGGATCGTTAATCGATGCTGTTTTTACTGTACTTTTCACAATTGCCTCGGCTGATGGGCATGTTCTCTAATAAAAGCCTCTTTTCAAAGGCAACGATGCAGCTGGAGATATCACTAAGAAGATGGCCAAACATAACAACAGATAAGTGAACAAATTTGCCATTTGAATATTCTGAAACTCAGGTATGTTCAATGCTTTACGAGACAACGATAGAAATGTGCATGGAGCAAACAAGCCCTGACTAAACGCTTATATAGGAGTCATCAAAGCAAGTGGACAATATTATAAGTTGAATAAACATGAGAGTTGTCTTGTAAAAGAGGCAATGGGAATTGGGAAAGGAATCTTCCTGTCTAATTCACAGCATGCAAAATCAAAGATTGAAAGGCATTTCTGCTTTCAATATTTTAGTTATAGATTGAATTGTTCTGCAATAGATTGAAGTGTCCTGCAATTGCAAATTAAAAAATTGAAAGGCGTGTGTCCGCCACTCGTTTTCTTTTAGAAAATACTAATATAATCTCGAAAAAAGTAGATCAAACAAAAATGAAGTGGACTTGTCTGCCATGGCCTACCCTCCAACGTCTTTATGATGTTGGCAATTGGTGAAATTGCTACATAAAACTAGAAACTCAAGCTAAATATCGGTGGTTTCTATTTAAAATCTGTGAGCATTATCTAAGTATTGGCCATGCTTCACCTACTACGTTTTCTTAAGATCCATGGGAAAATTCAACATCTTGAGATTGACAAGAAAAAAAAGTAAAAAACAAAAATATATGTATTAAGAATTGAAAGGCATGTGGCCTCCACACTGTTCTCATTCAAATTTACTGTTGCAGTTCAAATTGAAAGGCGTGTGGCTTCCACACGATTTCCTTTTAAAAAGTAATAGCAGAAGCAGATCAAACAAAAATGTAAATAGAATTATCTAAGTATTGGCCATGCTTCACCTACTACGTTTTCTTAAGATCCATGGGAAAATTCAACATCTTGAGATTGACAAGAAAAAAAAATTAAAAAACAAAAATATATGTATTAAGAATTGAAAGGCATGTGGCCTCCACACTGTTCTCAATCAAATTTACTGTTGCAGTTCAAATTGAAAGGCGTGTGGCTTCCACACGATTTCCTTTTAAAAAGTAATAGCAGAAGCAGATCAAACAAAAATGTAAATAGAATTATCTAAGTATTGGCCATGCTTCACCTACTACGTTTCACAGGGTCCTTGCAGTCAAGAAAGGAAGATCAAAGATGTTCAATGAACTTTTATTGAGATCTTCATTATTTTTCTATAAGCTTGCCTATGCCTACCTGTACTCCTACATTACATTCTAATATTTAAAGTTATGAAGGGAAAAAGATTATAGCATACAATAGCTTTTGTGAAAAATAATGAAGAGAAGATAAGCTTATTGAGACCTTTCAACACATGGAAACTTATATATAGTTTTTAGACTGAAGTTCAATCACGGGTAACTTTTCCAGGCAACTGACAAATTTTCATTGCCATGCATGGAAGATCTAGCCAGAAACCTTACAATCAATCAATTGTCCCGGTATTGTGGGGAATTAAGGTTTTGTTGGAGAGTTGAACCCGATAAGCATATGGGCCATCTCCTGGAATCCAAAGCCAGCGGCCGCTCAGGGCAAGGGCAACATAAATGTTGATGGGTCTCACTTGATTTTAACCCTATGATCTGGCTAAGCAAAGCAGCCTAAAGTATGCATCAATCCAGAACCCAAGTAGGCCACCAGCAGGGCAGTGACCCAATAATTTTCAGTCTAGAAGCCCGTTCTCAGGCTCAACCTTTACCCCTTTGACAGTGTTGAGGAGGCGTGTGACCCAAACATACCATTTTTGAAAAGAGTCCTCTGGTTCTCGTTTGGAGAAGTTGGAACAGAGAATTATGCAAAGGGAAAAGCACACTGATGCTATGATAAAAACATTGCAGCAACCTAATAATCATTTAACTTCTTCTAAGTAAGCCGCCATTCAAATAATCTTCAAATTACAAGCTAATAATCCCTTATTATTAATTAAGCACCAATCTTCTATGGACAGCCAAAGGTTTGTTTGACTACGATTTCTTCTTCTTTTAAGGTTATATATTATTTATTCGTATGCTGAGCACCTGGATTGCTATAATTGCTAAACTAGGGGAAGAAAATAGTTTACCTGGAATCTTAGAAAATATTTAATGATAAAAAAAAATCGAAGATTGAGCTCTCTCAATTCAATTGATAGCTAAAAAAGAACAATTCCATTCGTAAAACGTTCATGTTATATATGGGATTCGAAAAAAATTTATTGTATGCAATATTTTTTTACATTTTTACAATAAATTTTTTATGATTGGAATCTGTGATCACTAAATCACATTATAGCAACCTTACCGATTATGTCAATTGAAAGCTGAAAAATTAAAAAATATATTAATTTTTCACTAATTAATTTCCTAGATTATCTTCTCGAATTAAAGCTAGCAGCATGAATCAGCTATCCATGTCAATCAATACGTAGCATTGTCAAACAGATTATGAAAGCAAAATTTTCATTATTTTGTTATATCCATTCCTCAATTCATCAGAATTTGACTTAATAATGAGGATAATGTATACAATTTCCAAGTTGAATTCCAATTCCCAGTCAGGAATATCAAAGCCAATTAAGAAACCAGAACTTAATACCTATAAATCT